CTATCGTTTCTATCGCAGACAGTAAGACCTGCAAAGTACGGCCAAAAGACGTTCAAAGGATGTGTTGATCTTAAGCACATCTTATGGATGTCTACAAAGCGTCATTTGGAAGTTTATACTGTCTGCGATCTTCTTTTCTATTTTTCCTATCTATTCTATGTATTTATTCTTCTTTTCTATCTGTTCTTTGTAACTATTCTTTGTATCTATCCTGTTCTATCTATATTCTGTGGAAGTACAAAACATCGTTTTCCTTAATATTATATTAATTTTAATATTGATATATCTTTTCATACTACAATATGTCGAATTATTTATTTCGACATATTGTGCTATAAAAAGAAATAGATACATATAAAAATTATTGTAATATTAAGCAAAACGAATGTTTGACACTTTTTTGACGGAAGAGACCACTACCTTCTCGCGGTTTCCGTTGAGCAACAATATGTACGTAGTCCATTTATAAAACTTAAATACAATAGAACTATTAAAAATATTTCATTCGTTTCATTTAATTATATGTATTTGCAAATAGCAAATAGCAAAATAAAAAGTATATTAACAGAATACTATATACAAAATAAATAATACTAAAATATATTTTTAATTCTATATTTCTTGCATTAACAATAGCCATTTTCCTAAAATAATAAAGGAGAAAAAGGTGTACATACCCACTGGGCAAAAAGTTATCAAAAACATCTCTAAAAGATGTCTAAATGTGGAATCTGATAACATGAAGAGGCTTCGAAAAGCTGTCGAAACAATAACAAAATGTTATCTAGTGCGCCGTTTTTTGAGGACCGAAAGGTATCACAGAAAGATGTCAAAATGATTTCTCAAATTTCTCAATATCTTTAAGATATCTCAAGTATGTCAACATATAAAAATTTCATTTATGATGTCAAAATAATTCCTCAAAATAGTGGTAATTATGAAGCAGAGGAGCCACCTCACCGATTTGCATGAAACTTCGTCAGATCGTGTATTTTGATGAGTAGAACACGATTCTGCAATAAAAAGTGTCGCTCTCAAGTGGGTTAAAAGTTATGAAGTATCAACAATACACTGACAGATTTTTTAACCCCACATCGCATCGTCGACAAAATAGATTTCCTAACCCACAACACAAATGTCATTTTTCAACATTTCATAACTTTTAATCCGCTTAAGAGCGACACTTCTTTTTTACAGGTTTAAGTTTTACGCATCAAAATACGAACTGACGAAGTTTTATACAAATCGGTGAGAGGCACGAATACTAACGCACGGATCGCGCGGACGCAAAACAGGAATATTGGGTCAAGCAACCTGTACTAAAGTGCACCTAGATTACAGTTTTCATTGTATCTGCACTTACCAAACTTTGCCTCATAAATATAACATTTGTTTACCAAACAATTTTTTAAGTCTTTCTTGCATTATTACAAGGATATTACAGAACCCGATTTGGTTGAATAAATTAATATATGGTCTCATCTCAGATAGAAAAATGTGTTCATTCTGAGCTCATATTGTATTCATATATATTCAAGCATGAGGACAAGAATAGACATCGATGCGGGCTCATATGCGCTTCAGAATGTAGACATGTTATGATATCACAAAAATACCTCATTTAATAATAATAATCAACATCATGTCAAGAACTTGCAACATAATTTGTACATCATTTGTGTACATTTAATACTCATGTCATGAGATCACGTAGTGATCTTTAAAAAAGTATCAAATTGAAGTCATAGTATGAGTATGAAATCACATTA